TCCTTGTCGTTCCTTGAGCATTTGAGATGACAAATATCTAAAATAAAATATGTACAAGTCTATCCATTTTACTAATTCTTTATATACGTGTTAAAAAGACGAACTTACTTTTGATTACTCTAACTAAATAACACTTTTCTGCACTCAGATTTACCCTGTCCCCTTCCAGCTGTATTGACAGGCTAATTTATCTGAAAAAACCTTTCGGTTTTTGCAATAAAATCTTTCTGGAAATAGATTATCAAAACATTATACATGTATTAAAAGTTTATAAAGTAGTGAATTAATCAATCAAATACCCAATTTTTTATACTTACAATTCAAGCTCTGTCTCATTTCTGCACCAACTCACGTTTCTGGGCATTTCTTTCATTTGTCTCATATTCAGTTTTACTTCTTTTTCAGAAAATTAAATTTTCTGCCTCTTATGCCATCGTTTTTATTTTAACCTTTTCTATTTTTGTAATTTAATTTGCTGACATTTTCTTTATAAAAATTAATAAATAAAAAAAGAGATAAGCGTGCACTTTTTTCATATTTTTTCACTCTTCAATATTATACACTTTTGCTGTTGACGCCTCCACGCACTTTTTATAAATAAACAATAATTCAACTTTTCGATAGTCAGTCCAGAAACAAAATGACCCTTGCATAACAAAACAAACAGCATTTATGCACTCATCTGTGCAAAATATAATCAAAAAATACATAATTTTGATCACTTTTCAAACAGCTGCAAGATCATTTTAAGACTAATCATTTTTCAATCTCTATATGATCACAATACGATAATAAATAACGGAAAAATAGTCACATTTTGCACATCTCAATGATTGATTTGCGATTCCCCTACATTTTGTTCTTGTATATTAAATTGATCTCTTTTCATTCATTAGAGAGAGTTATTTTTGAGTCGCTTTTCGATCATACAAGTCAGTTAATCATTTTTTGGTCATCAAAAGGAATCGAAGAAGACTCACCAAAATGATTTTTTCAAAAACAATCTTCCAAATGCTAGCTGGGTAAATATGATGATGCCTAAACTTGGCATCATGGGATGGCAGAATTCAAGCGCGGCTTTGTCATCCCTTTAGGATATTACACCAAATATGCCAAGACATGATGCCAATCTGCTTATCACATCAATCTCACATCATCACTTTTAATCTAACTGAAACATTTGAGATACATACTTAATGTCTGCACACTAGGCAATTATAATTGCCGCACTTGACCGTTTTTAGCTACGAGAGGCTGTTGATAATTGCAGGGGCTCTCTTATTTTCTCATCACTCTCATCCACGTGCACTTTTTTCATATTTTTTCACTCTTCAATATTATACACTTTTGCTGTTGACGCCTCCACGCACTTTTTATAAATAAACAATAATTCAACTTTTCGATAGTCAGTCCAGAAACAAAATGACCCTTGCATAACAAAACAAGCAGCATTTATGCACTCATCTGTGCAAAATATAATCAAAAAATACATAATTTTGATCACTTTTCAAACAGCTGCATGATCATTTTAAGACTAATCATTTTTCAATCTCTACATGATCACAATACGATAATAAATAACGGAAAAATAGTCACATTTTGCACATCTCAATGATTGATTTGCGATTCCCCTACATTTTGTTCTTGTATATTAAATTGATCTCTTTTCATTCATTAGAGAGAGTTATTTTCGAGTCGCTTTTCGATCATACAAGTCAGTTAATCATTTTTTGGTCATCAAAAGGAATCGAAGAAGACTCACCAAAATGATTTTTTCAAAAACAATCTTCCAAATGCTAGCTGGGTAAATATGATGATGCCTAAACTTGGCATCATGGGATGGCAGAATTCAAGCGCGGCTTTGTCATCCCTTTAGGATATTACACCAAATATGCCAAGACATGATGCCAATCTGCTTATCACATCAATCTCACATCATCACTTTTAATCTAACTGAAACATTTGAGATACATACTTAATGTCTGCACACTAGGCAATTATAATTGCCGCACTTGACCGTTTTTAGCTACGAGAGGCTGTTGATAATTGCAGGGGCTCTCTTATTTTCTCATCACTCTCATCCACGTGCACTTTTTTCATATTTTTTCACTCTTCAATATTATACACTTTTGCTGTTGACGCCTCCACGAACTTTTTATAAATAAACAATAATTCAACTTTTCGATAGTCAGTCCAGAAACAAAATGACCCTTGCATAACAAAACAAGCAGCATTTATGCACTCATCTGTGCAAAATATAATCAAAAAATACATAATTTTGATCACTTTTCAAACAGCTGCAAGATCATTTTAAGACTAATCATTTTTCAATCTCTATATGATCACAATACGATAATAAATAACGGAAAAATAGTCACATTTTGCACATCTCAATGATTGATTTGCGATTCCCCTACATTTTGTTCTTGTATATTAAATTGATCTCTTTTCATTCATTAGAGAGAGTTATTTTTGAGTCGCTTTTCGATCATACAAGTCAGTTAATCATTTTTTGGTCATCAAAAGGAATCGAAGAAGACTCACCAAAATGATTTTTTCAAAAACAATCTTCCAAATGCTAGCTGGGTAAATATGATGATGCCTAAACTTGGCATCATGGGATGGCAGAATTCAAGCGCGGCTTTGTCATCCCTTTAGGATATTACACCAAATATGCCAAGACATGATGCCAATCTGCTTATCACATCAATCTCACATCATCACTTTTAATCTAACTGAAACATTTGAGATACATACTTAATGTCTGCACACTAGGCAATTATAATTGCCGCACTTGACCGTTTTTAGCTACGAGAGGCTGTTGATAATTGCAGGGGCTCTCTTATTTTCTCATCACTCTCATCCACGTGCACTTTTTTCATATTTTTTCACTCTTCAATATTATACACTTTTGCTGTTGACGCCTCCACGCACTTTTTATAAATAAACAATAATTCAACTTTTCGATAGTCAGTCCAGAAACAAAATGACCCTTGCATAACAAAACAAGCAGCATTTATGCACTCATCTGTGCAAAATATAATCAAAAAATACATAATTTTGATCACTTTTCAAACAGCTGCATGATCATTTTAAGACTAATCATTTTTCAATCTCTACATGATCACAATACGATAATAAATAACGGAAAAATAGTCACATTTTGCACATCTCAATGATTGATTTGCGATTCCCCTACATTTTGTTCTTGTATATTAAATTGATCTCTTTTCATTCATTAGAGAGAGTTATTTTCGAGTCGCTTTTCGATCATACAAGTCAGTTAATCATTTTTTGGTCATCAAAAGGAATCGAAGAAGACTCACCAAAATGATTTTTTCAAAAACAATCTTCCAAATGCTAGCTGGGTAAATATGATGATGCCTAAACTTGGCATCATGGGATGGCAGAATTCAAGCGCGGCTTTGTCATCCCTTTAGGATATTACACCAAATATGCCAAGACATGATGCCAATCTGCTTATCACATCAATCTCACATCATCACTTTTAATCTAACTGAAACATTTGAGATACATACTTAATGTCTGCACACTAGGCAATTATAATTGCCGCACTTGACCGTTTTTAGCTACGAGAGGCTGTTGATAATTGCAGGGGCTCTCTTATTTTCTCATCACTCTCATCCACGTGCACTTTTTTCATATTTTTTCACTCTTCAATATTATACACTTTTGCTGTTGACGCCTCCACGAACTTTTTATAAATAAACAATAATTCAACTTTTCGATAGTCAGTCCAGAAACAAAATGACCCTTGCATAACAAAACAAGCAGCATTTATGCACTCATCTGTGCAAAATATAATCAAAAAATACATAATTTTGATCACTTTTCAAACAGCTGCAAGATCATTTTAAGACTAATCATTTTTCAATCTCTATATGATCACAATACGATAATAAATAACGGAAAAATAGTCACATTTTGCACATCTCAATGATTGATTTGCGATTCCCCTACATTTTGTTCTTGTATATTAAATTGATCTCTTTTCATTCATTAGAGAGAGTTATTTTTGAGTCGCTTTTCGATCATACAAGTCAGTTAATCATTTTTTGGTCATCAAAAGGAATCGAAGAAGACTCACCAAAATGATTTTTTCAAAAACAATCTTCCAAATGCTAGCTGGGTAAATATGATGATGCCTAAACTTGGCATCATGGGATGGCAGAATTCAAGCGCGGCTTTGTCATCCCTTTAGGATATTACACCAAATATGCCAAGACATGATGCCAATCTGCTTATCACATCAATCTCACATCATCACTTTTAATCTAACTGAAACATTTGAGATACATACTTAATGTCTGCACACTAGGCAATTATAATTGCCGCACTTGACCGTTTTTAGCTACGAGAGGCTGTTGATAATTGCAGGGGCTCTCTTATTTTCTCATCACTCTCATCCACAAAATGACAATTGTGCAGAATGAAAGTTAAGCTTAGTATGAAATAATATTTTTGTATTCTCATTGAATCATAATTCGCCTAATGAAAAGTTGTTGATATTGGTCTACGTTTTAACAATAGGCCCTTATAGCGGTGCTTGCCTATTTTATATATTTCGATTTGCATCTATACCACATTATTATGCCATAAGTCCCCACTACTGACAATAGTTTTTTTTTTTTTTCTCGAAATTTGTTGTGGTAGCAGTGTTAACATGCTCCGTTGTTTGTATTCTAATTAATCCGGCTCTTTCTCAATGTCCAGGTTTAGGAATTCAACAACCTTTATGGGCTGTAGCCAGAAATGTGTAGACAGCTTAGAATCTTGGATAGGGTCATCATTATTTTCCTTGAAAAATAATGGTTTGTAGTTGATGCTGCTTTTACCGCGCATAGATGAACACATGGGCCTGAGAGTGCCATACATTAGTCTAGGGAAATTTAATGGAACTGTCCTTAGCCCAAATTATTCATTACATAACCAATGCAAATATTAATTTTCACATATTCCATTTTATTTTTATTTTACAGTCAGAAAAGTCTTCAATGGCCCCAGCTATCGTAATTAAATCTAGTCAGGATGATTTGCCAAATGATGAGTTGTGTATCAGAGAGGATACGGATATTGCCAATCTCACGGCTGAAATTGAAAGTTTTGTAAAAAATAAAAATAACGACGACATTGGTCCAGTCGTCAAAAAGGAAACTAAAATAAGGGAGACGTCATCAGATGGCAACGCATCGAGAGCAGATACAGAGAAAACCGTTATAAAAACAACAACTGTAATAAGCACAACAACGACGAATCCAAAGCCCGAGCCCGTCGACAATACCAAAAATGTCAGTACTTCTAAAGATGGAACAACAGAAGATGGAATTAAACACCCCACCCCAAACAAAGATAACAATATTACGACGACAACAACATCAACAGCAAATGACCAGAAATCCGTGCAACAAATAAGCAATACAACAATAACAATTTCAACTCAGAAAAATAATGATACCAAGCTGGTGCTACAAGATGAGACAAAGGCCACAGCACAGGCAACGCCCATTGCTGAAATCCATGCCGACAAAGCGACATCTGTTGCCGAGACGCAAGCGATGGCACCAAAAGCCGTTGGGGAGACAGAAACAAAATCCGTTGAGCAAAACGTCACAACAACGCATACAGGCAATACAACCTCTAAGCCAGTTAATGGTCATGTAGTCTCAGCAGTCGAAACGGAGAAGAAGGTAATCATGAGTAACGGAGCCATACCAAAGAAACCCAAAAATTCCGAGGATCAAATCACATCAACCCAGGTCGAAAGTGTCCAACTAAAGATTGAGGAACCTCAGGAACAAGTCCATAAACCTTTACCAGCTCAGCGTTCTGCCAAAAACGAAACGGAGGTGGGTCATGTTGAGTGCATTCACGTGCATGTGGAAAGTCCAAGGGCAACACCTCGGGAGCATCATCCCAGCAAGGTGACCAGTTTCAAAAACGAGCACGAAGTTATAACCACAAAAACGCCCTTCGTACTCACCAGTCCACCGAGACAGAGGAAAGCCCCAGAAAATACCGAACTGACGAAAGAGACTACAAAGCTGGTGCAGAGTCCGAAAGCGACAGTCACGAATGATTTGCAAATACAAGAAGAGCCGCGCAAACCCAGTCCAGAGATTAGAGAAAAGCCTGCACTTTCACCAAAGCCCATGGTCGAGCGAGTTGGACAAAGTCACAGTTTTGCCGAGATACACAAACCCATGAGAAATGTTCATGCCAGACGACCCTCTCGTGACGAAATTGTGCCACCACCACCCTCAGTACCCTCGCAGCAAAGTTTGCCAAAGGAAACCGTTGTCGACTCGTCAACTTCTCAAGTGGTTGGAGAGCAAAAACAAACTCCCGAAGCGGCTGTACAAGTCGTAGAAGCTCAAACCAAAGATCGACAAAGTGAACTGCCAACATTCGCTTCATCGTCGACCCGAATCACAAACTCAGCCGAAGACGGCACAGGCAACGATAGTGCACAATTTGACGCCCTATATCGTCCACGAACACAAATGGAATGGAAGCGTTCAACCTTGGCCCCTCTGGAAACCAACATACCGCCTGAGAAGAGAAAATCTGTCAAAGACATAATCGAATCCATTAATCGCAGTCAGCGTCTTTTGCATGCGGCGGCCAACAAAGACTTCACCATTGTTAGTGGTCCCCAGACTGCTTCCACCAATGTCGACAGCAGCAACGAAAATCTTCGAATAATTGACGAAAGCCAAAGGGAAATCCGAAGGATGGTAAATCAAATGGAACATCGGGACAGAAGCAACGGTACGTCGACGTTCAATGGCTCGAACCCGTCATCAGTGTCACCACCGCCCAGCTACAGTGAATGCATCGCCTCTCAAAAGCTGGACAATGGTGAAATATTCCAAAAATGTACAGTCAAAAAAGAAGTCTACGACTATAGAGAATCCTCGCCGATTTCATCGAATTTGGATTGGAATCCGGTGCCAAAGCCGAAACGCACCAAGCCACAAAACGAATAGAAACCGACTTCGAAGACATTGTGGAACAATTTCAGGATCATGATCTGGATGAGGGGTGGGCAGGGTTGGTAAAATTCCAAATTAGGCTAAGGATGTTAGATCACTGAAGCACAACCCTAAATGTGCTTGTAGTTCTCAGAACTAAGTTGGTTAGAAATTTGTCAGATACATGATGTTGCTTGCAACACCTTCAACAACTCCCAGATTGGCCATTGTACTGCGTTTTCGATCGATCCCAAGTATATATATTTGCTAACTTACGCAGCAATGATCCTGTTATACATATGCGAGTCTAACGACTATAAACGTAGTCCCTAACCCTTAGGATATATACATAAATATTTATTTACCAAATATGCAAATATGTATGTGTGCAAATCTGCATTTGAAAATGCGAGGTATTATCCTAGACTAAATAAAGTGTTGACTCTATTTCACTTTTCCAAATTTCCATTTTTTGTTTGTAAATCATCAATTTCCAGTTTGTTATTGTTACTACTTTTATCAATTGAAATATATTAGTAACCTGAGTATTTTCACTACAATTCATATAAACAACATAAGCGACATCTGTCCAATCGAATTTGTATTTCTTTTCTCTATGTTCTTTGTTTAGTCTATGATATTGTTAATTTACAATCTGCATACTCGTATGTTATTGACGAGTAATACGAGTACATGCATATATATTTGCGGATTATCGTAGCCATTAATTTATCGGGGTCTAAATGCAATAACCTTTATCCTTAATTTATAATTGTATTGTAAATGACTTTGTTATCGCTGTGGCCGAGAGAATTAGTTTGGAACCGCAATCTTCTCTCACCCTGCGAGCGCTTATATATGTATACAACGATTCGTATTTTGTTTTTTTTTTTTTTTAATTATTTCAAGTCAATTTCAAATCTTGTGTACTTCATCTGTTGCCTTTGGACTTGCATGGCGACAACCTGTATTTCATAACAACGAATATCTAAATATGTTTGTATCCGAATTCGTAACGTACGATTGTGTTTTCATATACCTATGTATGTATGATTGTATGATAATCTATTTTTGTTAATGAATAAAACACAAAAAAGAAAAAAAAAACAAAATAATGAACAAATAGTTAACGATTGTTTTAATGACTTTCGTTTGTTTACATAAGACATTTTGGTACACAGGGGGATTGCCATATAATTCGATTCGATAGTAAAATATTTCGAGTGCGAATTTTTACTACCAACTAACTCGAATTCGCAAACACATATAGTCATATTCTACTTCCGGATTTGAAGTCATATTCTACTTCCGGATTCGATATGTCCCATTATCAGTACCAACCATCCTAGGCACAATACAAAATATTGTGCTCAATTTCCTTACGTCAAATAATGTGGGCTGTATCGTAATATCACCAAACCAACAGATATATTTAAATTGACTTAAAATTTTATGGGCTCTACAACGAACATTAATAGGAGTTACCAACGGAATGAAAAATTAAATATACCCTCCTTTCCATGTGGAGGAGCCAATTTCAGACAATAATCAATTTTATGATTGAACATCCACATAACTTGCAAAAGAACCGGTGTCCGGCAAAAATTTGTTCATACACCGCTCTTAAACAAATCGTAATAAATTTACTGCAAATAAAAAGCTTGTGAAAGAAGAGCAACCAAACACATTTTTTGAAGCGCGTGAAACCTAAATATTTCGTGTTCTTTCTGTTTTATTTTTGATTGCTGCCAATTCTGAATAGTACACTTGAAAATACTGCCAAAATAAATCAAACGAACGAATTTGGAAATTTAAAAACATAAAATCCTTAAAAAGTTCTGTTAAATTTTAAAAATACCGAATATTGTCGTTATATTGGGGTCTATACGACGTGGACCTACATAGGCATTGTTTGTCATTAGCTATTACCATATTCAAATTCGAAACTTGAAATAAACGGTGAATAATGTAGCTAAAATCATCAAAATATCGTATATAGGGAGGTACCATTTTATCGGAGCTGTGTGAAGACATGAACCAGCATAGACAATTTTCTGTCACAGGCTGTAGCATCCATTACCAACGTCAGATACGATATCTCAAACAATTTCGGTGGGTATTGTACCTAAACTCGTCAAAATACCGAATATATGGAGGTACTGATATATGGGGCCTATACGAAGACCTGGACCTGCATAGACATTTTTCTGTCACAGACTGTAGTTCCCATTATGAACTCTAAATACGTAATTTGAAATAATTCCGGTGAATAATGGCGCTAAAATCATCAAAATACCGAATTTTGGGAGGTACCGTTATATGGGGGCTATACATAGACGTGGACCTGGACAGTTGCATCCATTGCGAATCTCAAATACCAAATTTGAAACAAATCCGGTGAATAACGTCGCTAATATCATCAAAAAAACCGAATATCGGGAGGTACCGTTATATGGGGGCTGTACGAAGACGTGGACCTACATGGCCCATTTAACCTGCCTACTGGAAAAATAAACACGTGTGCAAAATTTTAGCCTTCTATCTCAATTCGTTCGAAAGATAGCGTGATTACAACAGACAGACAGACGGACATGGCTTAATCGACTTAGAATTTTACGCTGATCAAGAATATATATACTTTGTTGGGTCTGACATGAGTATTTCGAGGAGTTACAAACGGAATGACAAAGGAATAGAGGGTATAAAAACAAATAAAAAAGTTATTGAAGTTCGATAAAAATGCTGAAAAAATTAAGCATTTCATTGCTTATTAGGTAAACATTTATTAATGTTGTTTTTTTAAGGAAAATACTACAAAAATGTTCAACAAGAAAATAATGCTCAGTTCTTGATAAATAGAGGATAATCTGACGGGCCCAATGTGTGTCAGTCGTGTGATGCTTTACTATATTTTAGTTATTTGGGTAAATACCAAATATCAGAGGATTTTCAGAAAATTAACAATTGGTTTTGAATCTACTAATTGGTTGCTCAATGCAACATTGAACCGTATTTACACTACTTATAGAGTAAAGCCAATCCGTCGGAAAATCTCAAGGTAATTTTAATACCATCTTAAGAATTTTATTTTTTTTTTGTTACCATTACTTAGCAATGAAATTCTATTTATTAATGGATAGAGAATTTGTTTGTACATTTTAACCCTATTTAAAACATGATCTATATGATATTTAAAAGTTAGTTTTTTATCGAGCCAAATGCCAAGATATTTTACATTGTCTAACCATGTTATATTGTTGTTTCCTAAAACAAGGTTAATGTTGGGTACGAAACAAGATTTCCTTCTTTTTGTTAAAAATGTTGACTGTGTTTTGGTATAGTTTAATTTAATTCTCCATTTTAAGTAATAGTCACATAATATATCAATTGAATGTTGCACATTGCTTAATATGTCATGACTAAGTAGACCGGTATAAAAGATTCTAATATCGTCGGCATATAAAGCAAATTTACATGGACTTAGAGACGGCATATCTGAACAGTATAAATTGTATAAAATTGGTCACAAAACGGATCCCTGCGATACTCCAGCATGAATAGGTATTAAGTCTGAAAAAGAATTGTTAACTGAAACACAAAAATATCGGCCACTTAGGAATTGTTCGATATTTTTTATGAGGTAAGATGGAAAATGAAATTTTATAAGTTTATAGACTAAGCCTCGATGCCATACTGTATCGAACGCTTTCTCTATGTCGAATAAAACTAAAGCTGTAGACAGTCCACCATTTAAGCCAATACGAATGTCATTGCATAAACGTTACACTTGATGTATAGTAGAGTGACCGTCTCTGAAACCAAATTGTTCATTGGGGAGAATTTTCTTTTCATGGACAAATGCCGAAATCTTTTTTTAATAATCTTCTCTAATATTTTCCAAGCGTGCTTAGTAGGCTAATAGGTCTATAATTTTCTGTTTTTTTATTACCTTATAGTACCCATAGTTCCTTTTGATGATCTGCATAGAAACACATTCTGAGTCCCTCCGTCTGTTAATGTATTTTTGTAAACAAAGTACAGGTCGCACTTATTGCCCGATCCAGATGAAATTTTGCACATATAATTTGTTTGGCCCAAGGATGAACCCTATTGAAATTGGAAATAATCGTTAAAAAATTTAGATATATCCCATATATATCTTCGTTCCAAATATTATGGACTTTTGCACATACGATCAAATTAGGCCTGAAAATAAGTATGCCAAATCCTTTCAGATATAGCTATAGCTCCCATATTTATTATTCATCCGATTTGTTATTTTTGTCCTCCGCAGCCGTAATTTGCACTCTGTAACACCAATATTTGGGAAGTCGGTTCAGATTAGGATATAGCTCCCATATATATCTTTAGCCGATTTCAAGTTAATTGTGCTCCAAATGGGCAACACAAGCCCGAATTAAAAAGATACAGATGCTTCGACATATTTAGTCTTTTGAACTTTAAATTCTAATCACAGCTTGTATGATTTAATTCTCCCATTAAAACTTTTAATTGTGAGGTGAAGCTCTACTAAATACGCAAAGTAGTGTAGGGTATCATAAAGTCGGCCCCGCCCGACTTTAAGACTTTCTTTACTGGTTTTTATATCCCAAAGTGCAACTAATGGCACATTTAACGTGTCACGACCGTGGCCAAAAAACGCTGAATGGTTGATAGAAAATATATCAATTAGAAGGAATCTGAATTTTGGTAATGCAACTTGTTGCATTGATTTTGAATTAATAATTGATTACAGCGAAAACTGAATGAAAGATCAAAATTTATTTTCAAAATCATGTGCTATATATCTCTAAACGTTTATTCCGCTACAAAAAATGTAGATTTTGTCGAGGCATACCCTGCCATAAGTATTTTGAAAATACCCGAATTTGAATATTTTCTGAACGATTTTTGTATTATTGAAAAGAATACACACACATAAACAGTTAAAATCATATAGTATCATAGTCCTACCATGATACCATAGATAACCATTATTTTTATCATTTTTCAACTAAAATCAATAAATTATATAATGATAGAATATTTAAAAATTTAAAGCATCGGTCGCTAAAAGAGTAAATTGTAAGCATTCTTAAGAATTGTATAAACTTAGCTCCCATTTTGTTTGCCTATAAATGCTGACCATATAGTGTTGATAGTTTAGTTTTAGTTTTTCCCAAACAATAAACAAAGTTGGTAGGAAGAAATTGTAATCTGAGGCCGAAGGTTTTCAACTATTTTCATTTCTGCTCGTAAATAAAGTTGTCAAACTCCATTTTTTCAATTTTCTTTCTTATGTAAATATTTAATATTGTTTTATGCTACACCACTTACAATGATTGCTCTGTTCTAGTACCTGCAAGAATCTCCAATTTTGCATTATGTCTTTGTGCATTTGTTTGTAACAGGCAAAAGGAAACGAGATAGACCCTTAGTTCCTTTTGATGATCTGCATAGAATCACATTCTGAGTTGATTTATGCATGTCAGTCCGTCTGTCCGTCCGTCCGTCCGTCCGTCTGTCCATGTATTCTTGTGAACAAAATGCAGTTCGCATTTATTATCCGATTGAGATGAAATTTTGCAAACAATATTTGTTTGGCCCAAGGACAAACCCTATTGAAATTGGAGATAATCGGTAAAAATTTAGATATAGCTCCCATATATATCTTCGTCCGATTTGCCTTTTATTGTGCACCAAACGTGTAATATCAGCCCGAATATTATGGAATTTTGCACATACAACCAAATTAGGCCTGAAAATAAGTATGCCAATTTTATTTATTTGTTACTTACAGCCGTAATATGCACTCCGTAACAACGATATTCAGGGAAATATATCAAATACAGCTCAGAAATATCTTTGCCAAATTTTATCGAGATCGGTTCAGATTCCCATATATATCTTTATCTGATTTCAAATTAATTATGCACCAAATGGGCAATATAGGTCCGAATTTAAAAGATACAAATGCTTCGGCATATTTAGTCCTTTGAATTTTAAATTTTAATTTTAATCATAGCGTGTATGATTGAATTTTCCCATAAAAAAAAACTTTTAATTGTTAAGTGGAGCTCAACTAAATTAGCAAAGTGGTGTAGGGTATCATAAAATCGGCCCGC